GAGTTTCAAATGGGAGGGACATGAAAGAGGGAGCCTTGAAAATTTGAAACAAGCTTTGACCAAGGCTCCTGTATTAAGTTTATCAAACTTGGAAAAGCCATTCAATCTCTTTGAAAACACACACACACACACACAAATGAAACAATTTTAATGCAGCAGACAGACTTGATTGTAACCACAAATCACAATTTGAATCAAACACAGTTCTTAACCAACACCAGATCAATGGATCAGTTTGGATTAGAACATTATGGTGCTGAAGTGATTGATTTACAAACAAAAATAAGACCTGATTTGGAGAAACACCCCCTGGAGAAAGGAGAAGCAATTTGTATAAATGGTTCCTCTAGGGTGGAAGGGGGAGTACGGAAAAATCCTGGAAACAAGGGGTTTGCCTCGAAATTGGTCTGCTCAAACCTTTGAATTGTATTCATTAAATTAAGCTCTATGGACAGGGAGCCTGGATAGCTCAATAGACAAATGCATTGTAATTTAACACCAGCTGTCTGCACTTACTGTCAATTCGAATCTCACCAGGCTCCAGGTTGACTCAGCCTTCCATCCTTTCTAAGGTAGGTGAATTGAGGACCCAGTTCGTGGGGGCAATAAGCTGACTTTATGAAGGCTATTGCTTAATGCATTATAATCCTGAGTCTCCCGGAGAAGGGCGGCACATTAATTAAAAAAAAAAAAAAAAAGGAGGGGAGATGCTGGATATTGTATGGGGATGCTGGATACTGTATGGGGATGCTGATGTATGCTGGATACTGTATGCATTTGGGATAGTGCATTCATTTGGCAAAATATGGGTGGAGTCATTGGGGAATTCAAGCTATTGTAGATGAACTTTTAAAAAGCTATGGTTGTATTGGGATATATCCTTTAGTAACATCAATTATAAACAAATGTTTGATTTGTAAAAAGGTGAAGGAAGCATATGCATTAATTTTCTGGAAACCAGAGACAAAGTATTGAAACAATATATGTATAAACTGTCCAGATATTTTAAAGTTTTTAGGAAACAAGGACTATTAGCCCAAACACCACCTTTGAAGTTTCCAGTCCATAAATTCCACCATGATGATTGGATGTTCCTGGAAGGAAGTGAAAGGGCCCATGCCAGCCCCAAAGGAGTGGAAGGATTGAGTGGTTGCCTATGCTGTTTCCCAACTGAAGAGGACTACAACTGCTCAGATCCCTTTGCGCTCTCCCCCAGATGTATTAGTTTTGTAATTGTGCTTTTAAGATCTTAGGAGGACGGTCCTGGATTCACTGGACGAGACTGAAGCCCGCAGACCAAAGTGATCCAGCCACATACCAGGTGACAACAACTGACCAGCCCTTGGTGTTGAGGTTCAAGAAGAATACACCCTGCTGAGTCCTACCGGCAACGGACTCTCAACGCACGGTGGTGATCGTCAAGCTTTGCTGAACCACCCCGGAAGCTGGTTCTCTACGCACGGCTGAAGCTTGGAACGGAGGAAGACAACATTCCATGACTGTAGTTTGTAATGTAAAACCCATTAACAGTGATAGTATCCAGTAAGCACTTATTAAAAACACTCATGGTTGAGGAAGATTGGGGTGTGGGGACTCTGGGCAACAGCTACTTTAGCCCTTCTGTTGGTATTGTTTAATACAATTGATATTGCCCTACCCCAAGTTACACATATCCCTAACCCTCTTCCTAACATGGTGAACTTGTAAACTTCGGGTCTTGCGCTCTTAAGGCCTTGTGGGTGTGGGAATAAAGTCACTATGATTTATTTGGGGATTGTGGGTACTATTAGCCAAGGGTCTAGTGAGTGATGCTAGTTTGAACAGTAGTTCCCCAGGTTGTGTGGATGTTCAAGAAATTCCCCTTGTCTCTGCGGAAGGATTTGAAGATGTCAAGAATCCCAGGGGACCTAGCAGCATCAAGACACTGAATGGGGACACTTTGGGTCAAGTCCACTCCCGCCAACAACATGGTATCAGAAGGTGGAGTGGGTACCTTATTCCTAAACCAACTCCTAGACCTAAGGTTAAGAGTTTAACAATCCCGGTACAGGGGGGAATAGAAGGGCCCCCACAATAATTGAAAAGAGGAGATTGCATATCAGGGATACTGGAATTGGGTCGAAACCTTGTTAAATCATAGGGTCACCTTCCCTGTGTGTAAAGAGACATCAGAAACCTGGTAGGCCTATAGGATCCCTGACAAAAGAACAATGTCCATCAGAAGTGTACCTTGGTCCTAGAATGAACCTTAGGGATGTAAAACTAACCAAAGATCTTTTTTCCTTCTGCACACCACTCACTTTCTCATCACCACCAGCTGCCATCATCACAAAATGGTATCTTTTTGAAGGTCCAATCCTCGGAGATAAGCAAAAGGACCCTTCGCTAAAAGTCCCATTACAGCCGCTGACAGGATTGTTTGTGGTGGGGGCTTTTGGGGGTCTGGACTAATGCAAGGAACAACCGATCCTTTTCCGTAAATCTTCTTATGTGAAAGGGATACGTATTTATGTTTGCCAACAAATTGGACCGGAACATGCACACTAGTACTCCTTTTTCCTGAAATAGATGTTGTCAGTGGAGAACATACCATCCCTGTTCCTTTCATGGGGCATGTTCAGAAATGGGTACCCATCCTAGTCCCACTATTAGTAGTCATGGGAATAGGAACTGCAGTGGGTACAGGGATAGGTGGTTTAACACACTCAGTAATACAGTTTCAGCAATTATCAGAAGAAAGCCTGAACCAAATTGCTGGAACCCTGGTGGAAGTCCAAGACCAGATAGAGTCATTGGCGGCAGTGGTCCTACAAAATCGACGTGCCTTAGACCTTGTGGCCACAGAGAGAGGAGGTATGAGAAGATTGTTGTTTCTATGTGAATAAATCAGGTGTGGTCAGAGAAGTTGCCAAGGATTTGCAGGATAGGGCATCCAAGATAAGTCAGAGGTGACAAACAACTGACAGGTGGTTTTCTTGGTTGCCTGGATCCAGCTGGATTAAACAAATGTTATTCTTGTTGATATGGCTGTGGCAGGCCTAGCTTTTATTCCTTGTGCAGGCCTAGCTTTTATTCCTTGTGCAATCCCTGTGCTGAAACAGCTATCTATCAGAGCAGTGAAAGAGATACAGACTGCGAAGGAATTAGTTTTGACAGAGCGCTTTCTTGAAGAAAAAAAAGTTTCTGAAACAGACACATATGTCGAAATAGGGTCTGGGAAAAGAATGGAGGGAGTACCTCCAAGGATTAATAGGGTGAAGATCAAGAAATACCTATCTCTTGCCTAAATTAGTCATATGTTGTGGGATATTATATGTTGGCTTTGTGTATTAAGGGACATAGAGTGTTGTGTAGGAAGTAATGGAAGTTTATGCATGGAAAAACTTCCACAGGGGGGAATGAAGTAAAGAGCAAATAAAGAATAATGTAGATAAAAGAAATAATGTGAATAAAATAGGAATCATACAGAGTCAGATATATGGGCTCTGGGGGACCCTCTCTATTCACATTATTATAAAGGGAAGACGTGCTTAGATACATGAACTCTGAGAGACTCTATCTATTCACATTATTATAAGAGAGGAAAGTGCTTGTTGGAAATTACATTAACAAACAGTTAAACCCTTTTAAGTGGTAATATATCTTCTGATACCTAGATGTCAAGGAAAGGACTGCTATATGGAAAAACATCTGAGTGACCTGACTGTGAATGACACAAAGACCTATATGTTACAAAGAGTTACTTAATCTAATGAATTTACCCAAGGACAGTAGTAACTCTTCCCATTAGCGACTCTGAGCACTTAAGAAAAGTTGTGTGGCTAAGATAATTTTATAAACTAAGATTAATGCTTTAAGTAATTAGATGAACTTATTAACAAGTATATGTAACCATAGAAGGAAAATCAGATGTATGATCTCATGATTAACCATATATGGAAAATGTATGATCTCACTGAATCCTTTGTCTTAGAAATGTATAAAAACCATTGTATCAGAGTTCTTTCTTTGTTCAAAGCTTCAGGTACAAATCTGGCTCTGAACCTTGCGCAATAAACTGTCTCTGACTGGCCTGGGAATGTTTTTTAGTCCTTCCATTCCACAACAGTCATGATCAGACCACGCCCTATTGTCTCTTAAGATTTGCTCGTGCTAACCCCCTCTGCAGGGAGGCAAGCTCTATTCAAATGGTCCACTCTTGCAATGGATGGACCAATTCCAAAGGGAGATATCCTAAGAACTCTTCTACATTGGAGGTTCTGGTTGTAGCCTGCAACAAGAAAGTGGCCAAAGGCCTGGACAGGATCATGCCTGTGCATCTTGTCTTGGCCCATCACTCTCAGTCATCCTCATCTTCTTTTAATGACCCCATAATATTTTGTGGGGTGGATAGGCAACTGAATGGAGCTGAGTGTTTACTGGCCGGATGCCCTTCCTGTCGCCAATGCGGAGCTTTGTTCGGCAGATATAGTCTCATTGTGCCCAGAGAGAACAATATCTGCCTCTACCTAGGATTGAACTCACAGCTTCCTGCTTGTGAGGCGAGAGCTCCACCTCTAGGCCATCACACCACTCGGCCCGTCGCTCTGAATAGCCCCTGTGAAAGGGAAGGACCAAAAGATGTCTGGAGCACTGCTAGAGGAAAACAAGGGATGAGTGCAACTGAACAGGTTAGAGCTGCTATCGAGGCCTACCTTGGTGGTGAAACGCCTTTATTTCTCTGCCTTTATTGCATTTGCTGAGTTAGGGGGTCACCTGCTCTGTTTTAGGGAAGGGTGGCTCAGATGATTATCTTCAGGGCTGTGCAGAGTTGTTTGTGGAACACCTGGTGGGCAAGGCCAGAAAAGCACGTTTTAAAATCTGGTTTAGCTCTGCCCAAATGGAGAACGAACAATAAAGAGCTAAGAGATAAAGAGACAGAGGGGTGGGGGTGGGGGTGGGGGAGGAGCTACTTTGCCTAGTCCAGCAGATCACTGAGAACAAACAAATGCCGCTGGTACGTGGGTTCCTGCTCTCCTTCCCTTCCCCTGCCTCCTGAGTTCTGCAGATTTCCAGAAGGTAAGTGAGGAATTGTGAGGGATGGAGGAGGAACATGTGGAATAAAATGGGGAGCCTTTGGGGATCTGGCAGGGCAGGATTGGGAGGGGGGTGTTCATCAACCTCATCACAGTTGCAAGGAATCTTGGAGGTCTTCCAGTCCAACCTTCTGCTCAAGCAGGAGACCCCATACCGACAAATGGATGTCCAATCTCTTCTTAAAACCCTCCAGTGATGGAGCTCCCACAATTTCTGAAGGCAAAGCTGTTCCACTGGTTGATTGTCCTCACTGTCAGGAAATTTCTCCTTAGTTCTAGGTTGCTTCTCTCCTTGGTTAATTTCCATCCATTGCTTCTTTTCTTGCTTTCTGGTGCTTTGGAAGATAAGTTGTCCCCTCTTCTTTGTGGCAGCCCCTCAAATATTGAAACACTGCTATCATGTCATGCCGAGTTCTTTTCAATTCCTGCAACTGTTCTTCATACCTTTTAGCCTCCGGCTCCCTAATCATCTTAATTTTCTTCTCTGCACTTTCCAGAGTCTCAACATCTTTTTTATAATATGGTAAGTAAACTGGGTGCAGTATTCCAAGTGTAGTTTTACCAAGACCTTATAAAATGGTAGTAACACTTCACGTGATCTTGGTTTTATCCCTTTGTTAACGCAGCCTAGGATTCCATTGGCCTTTTTTGGTGGCAGCAGCACACTGTTGGCTCAGATTTAAGTGGTTGTCTACCAGGACTCCAAGATCCCTCTCACAGTTACTGCTATTGAGTCAGGCTTTACCTAATTTGTACCTGTACATTTGGTTTTTCTCCCCTAAGTGTGGGCCTTTACTTTTCTCTACATTGAATTTCATTTTGATAGATAGGTCTCGGTGTTCAAGTCCGTCAAGATCCATCTATTCCTGCCGACTTGGTATTTGAATTCCCCTTCTATTCCCTCATCTAAATTGTTTATGAAGATATTGAAGAGTACTGGGCCTAAAACAGAACCTTGCAGTACCCCCTGCTTATTTTCATCCATGTAGATGTAGTTCCATTAAGGAGTACTCATTGGGTGTGGTTTGTCAGCCAGTTACAAATCCATCTGGTGATAATGCTGTCTATCCTACATTTTTCTAATTTACCAAAAAAATAGGTTGTGGTCTAGTTTGTCAAAGCTTTACTGAAATCCAAGTATACTATATCTGCAGCGTTTCTCTGGTCCACTAATTCAGTCACTTTGTCAAAGAATGAAATAAGATTTGTTTGGCATGATCTGTTTTTGACAACCTCACATTGGCTTTTGGTTTCAGCTTTGTTTGCTTCTATGTTCGCAAATCAGTTGCTTGATTATCTTTTCCAGGATCTTCCCAGCTATTGGTGTCAGGCTGATTGGTTTCCTGGATCTATTTGTTTCATTTTTTTGAAGATGGGAACCACATCAGCTCTTTTCCAAACCCTTGGTAGTTTCCTGGTGCTCCAGGATCCTTGGAAGATATAGTTCAATGGTTCTGAGATCACGTCAGCCAGCTCCTACAGAACGTTGGGATATAATCCATCAGGAGCTGGTGATTTGAAGTTGTCTAGAGTGGACGAGTGTTTACCTATTTTTTTTTTATTGCAAAAGTTTTACAATTACATTTTCACCCCTTTCCCCCCCCCACCTCCCCCCCAGACTTCCCAACCTCCCTAACCCTCCCTAACCCTCCCCTCCCCCCAGACTTCCCTATAATATACTCATACTCATAAAAAACCCTTAATATAACACTTATATATAAAGATGGCCAGTTTTGCAGAGATGGCGAAGATTTCAGCATATTTAAAAGATTGTTCACAAGAGACTTATGAATGGGAATGGAAAAGGTGGATAGAATATGTTCAGAACAAATATCAAACTAGAAAGTATCAAATAGCTTTTATTTGAAAATAATGTATTGGAAATATTTTAATGTAATGAGGTAAAGAGAAAAATTATACAGGGGAGGGAGGGGTTCAAGAGTGTTTACCTATTTTAATTTGGGTTCCTAATCTGTCTTTTACACTTCTGTTTTTGGTAGCCTGTGCTATTTTTCTTTTTGCGTGAAAACAGATGTAGAAAGAAGTAATTAAGCAGCTCTGCTTTCTTCCTGCTGCCTGTCACTTCCTTGTCATCATCTTCCATTAGTGCACCAATTGTTTCCTTTACTTTTGTCTTTTTTTAAATATGTTGAAAGAAACTTTTAAAATTATTTTTGACATTTGTTGCAAATCTTAGTTCATTCTGAGCCTTAGCTTTCCTAATTTCATCTTTGCAGATTTGGGCTGTATGCTGGTATTCTGCCTTAGTTATGTGTCCTCTTTCCATTTTTTATACTTATCCTTTTTTGTCTTTCAGTTTATCAGAGAGTTCTTTGTACAGCCATGCTGGTTTCTTCTTGGATTTCTCATTTTTCTTTTTCAGTGCTATTGTGCTGGACTGGGTTTTTATAATAATGTTTTTGTAGAGTTTCCCAAGCTTATTGGGTTATTTTCCCATTTAAGATTTTCATTCATGGACTCCTTCCCAAGCCCTCTCTAAGTTTGTTGAAATCAGCTCTTTTAAAGTCTAAGATATTGGTTTGACTATGTTCTATTGCTTGTGTCGACATTACATTGAATTCCAGTATGTCATGGTCACTCTCCCCCAAAGTTCCTGCAGCTTCAACCATCTCTATTATTTCTTCTCTGTTCTCTGCCCCTTAACTTTCTTGCCAAGTTGCTCATAGTCTCTTGATGTTGTTTTCAGGTTCTTTGTCATGTTCATTCCCACATAAAGGAGAAAAAAGGGATAGTAATCTGTGAGCTTGATTATTTTGGTTAGATTCTCAGCCATATCTTTGATTTTTGTTCCAGGGAGACAACATACCTTCCTAGATTGAATGTCTGGTCTACAAGATGGCTGATTCTGTTCCCCTGTGAAATGAGTTTCCTTTCACCAGCACTCACCTTTTTTTCTTGGGCTTCCTATCATAGGAATCTGCTTTCCTATATATATAGCTGAACACTCTGACTTTCCAGAACATTTCTCTCCAACAACGCCCTTGTAAAACCAAACCCCTATTATTAAACTGAACAATGTGTTAAAATCCTGTAAAATGTTACTACTTCTTCTTTAATTGCATTGCACATCAGCATTATATTTTCCCCATAATAAGTCAGCTGCTTAGTATTTGATTATTTGAGTTGTGTGTACTCTATTACTGGCGAGTTTTAAAAAAAACCGGACAACTATTTATTCTAGATTGGACTCCTGCCTTGGGCAGAAGATTGGATTAGAAAACCTTCAAGGACCCTTCCCACTCTGTGATTCTGTGATTGACTATATATTTCCAATATATAGTCTCCAATATTGACCCTATTTTTCATATTTGGAAATCTGGCATCTTGCATGCATTTGCCTCTTACCAGAATGAATGTGCAAAGGTAAAGCAAGCAATATAACCAACTGCCGGTGTCTTTTATCTCTTAACCACCTCTGTCTTCAAGGCAAGTCAGGAAATGGCAGTTAATATTTTCCTTGCATTTTTTTTACGAGCAATACCATTTCATTTGAGTGGGAGCAGGGGTGAAATCTAGCAGGTTCTGACAGATTCTGGAGAACCAGTAGCGGAAATTTTTATTGCAAAAGTTTTACAATTACATTTTCACCCCTTTTTCCCCCCCACCCCCCCAAACTTCCCAACCTCCCTAACCCTCCCTAACCCTCCCCTCCCCCCAGACTTCCCTATAATATACTCATACTCATAAAGAACCCTAATATAACACTTATATATAAACTTGAACCCCTCCCTCCCCTGTATAATTTTTCTCTTTACCTCATTACATTAAAAAATTTCCAATACATTATTTTCAAATAAAAGCTATTTGATACTTTCTAGTTTGATATTTGTTCTGAACGTATTCTATCCACCTTTTCCATTCCCACTCATAAGTCTCTTGTGAACAGTCTTTTAAATATGCTGAAATCTTCGCCATCTCTGCAAAACTAGCCATCTTCAAAGTCCATTCCTCAATAGTGGGCAAGGCTTCATTCTTCCAATATTTACCTATCAACAATCTTACTGCTGTTATCATATACAATATCAATTTTGTTTCACCCAATGTAAAACCCTTAACTATACCCAATAAAAACAGTTGTGGAGAAAATTGAATTTTTTTCTTCAAAACATTCTGCATGACCCACCAAATTTTTATCCAAAAAGCCTTAACTTTCCTACAGGTCCACCAAACATGATAATACGTAGCATCCAAACATTCACATCTCCAACATTTTGGCTGAACATTAGGGTACATACATGACAACATTTTGGGATCTAAATGCCATCTATAAAACATTTTGTAGAAATTTTCCCTCAGATTCTGCGACTGTGTAAATTTAACATTCTGAACCCAAATTTTTTCCCATGTTTCCAGCATCACTGGTTCTTCAAAATTCTGTGCCCACTTAATCATACAGTCTTTAACTAATTCGGTTTCTGAATCTCTTTCTAGCAAAACATTATAAAGCCTTTTGATATGCATTGGACCTTTCTCTCTTATATGTCTAACCAATTCTTCCTCATGCAACATAATACCAGTTTTTTGGTCCTCTTTCCATCTCAATTGTAATTGATTATATTGTAGCCAAGTTAAATTAATCCCTTCGTCCAACAGTGTCTGCAATGTCTTCAACTGCCATCTGCCCGCATCTGTAAAAAGAACCTCTTTATAAACCCCCCCCCCGAGTGACATTATATTTGTATTCCACAAAGTATGACCAAGATCCAGCCATAGCGGTATTTTATAATCCCATTTGAGTCGGTGCTTCTTCCAAACTCTCATCAAAGAATCTCTAAGTATATGACTTTTAAATACTTTATCTACTTTGTCGTCGTAAAATAAGTAAGCATGCCATCCAAATTCAAGATCAAAACTTTCTGCGTTCAATATTCCAGTCTTTTTCCTTCCAAACCAATCACTTGTTAAAGTTAAAGCTGCTGCATCATAATATAGCTGTAGGTTTGGAAGTTTAAGACCTCCTCTTTCTGGAACATCTTGCATAATTTTCAATTTCACTCTCGGCTTCTTCTCGTTCCAGACAAACTTATTCACTCCAGATTGCCAAACTTTCAATTGTTTATCACTTTTAAGCACCGGAATCATTTGAAACAAAAAAAGAAATCTTGGCAAAATATTCATCTTAACTGCTGCTATTCTTCCAAGTAGAGACAGCTGCAGTTTTTTCCAAGTCTCCATATCTTTCTGCACCTCTCGCCACAACACCTCATAGTTATTTTGAAACAATTTCATATTTGATTCTGCAACCTGAACTCCTAGATATTTTACCTTAGGTACAGTCTCAAAACCTGCCCTCCTTTCAAGCTCATGTTTACGATATTGTGTCATGTTTTTAGCTATCATTTTAGTCTTTTTTGGATTCAATCTAAAACCTGAAACTTTACCATAGTCTTGTATAATGTCCTTCATCAAGATTATTGATTCCATTGGTTGTGATAGGGTAACAATCAGATCATCTGCAAATGCCTTTATTCTGTAATCCTCTTGCCTAATCTTTATACCTTTCAAGATATTAGAGTCCCGTATTGTATTTAGCAAGACTTCTAGTGTTAAAATAAATAAAAGTGGGGACAACGGACATCCCTGTCTTGTTCCTTTTTCAATTTTAAACTCTGTTGTCAGACTTCCATTAATAATGATCTGTGCCTTTTGCTCTTGATAAATTGCTGAAATCGCCTGTATAAATTGATCCCCAAAGTCCATCTTTTTCAAAGTCTTTAATAGAAAATTCCAATCCACTCTGTCAAAGGCCTTCTCTGCATCCAAAAAGACCAGCACTGCAGAGATCTGTTTATTCTTCTCAAGATATTCCAATAAATCTATTACTTGCCTTACATTGTCCTTCATATATCTGCCCTCGATAAATCCCGCTTGATCATCATGAATCACCTTTTGAATTACTGGCATCAACCTGTTGGCTAGTACTTTCGCAAAAATTTTATAATCTGTATTCAAAAGAGATATTGGTCTATAGTTCTCTGGTTTTTTAGGACCGATTTGTTCTTTTGGTATCAAAGATATGTAAGCTGTTGTCCATGATGGGGGTATTTTACCCCCTTGCTGAATATTGCAAAATAAATCTCTAAGTTGTTCCACCATTTCAGCTTGCAAAGTTTTGTAATACACTGCAGTCAAGCCATCCGTGCCAGGAGCTTTGGCTGTTTTTAACTGTTTAATTGCTACTATTATCTCCTCCTCTGTTATAGGATAATTCATTCTTTCCTTTTGTTGATCAGTAATTTTTGTAACTCTTTTATCGTTTAAATATTTTTCTATAAGTCCATTCTGCACCTCCTCTTTAGCATATAATTTAGTATAATAGTCCACAAAAGCTTCTTTAATTAATTTTTGTTGAAAAATTTCTTTCCCTCCAATATCAATACTATCAATAGTCCGTATACTTTGTTTTTTCCTCAATGTGTAAGCCAACCATCTGCCCGGTTTATTAGCGTTACAAAATGTGTTATGCTTCGCATATTGTAAGTTTGTTGCAACTTGTTCCGCCATAAGCATTTGAAATTGGTCTTTCAAAAGTTTTATAGCACTACGTATTCTTTCATCTGTTGGATTTTTAATAAGTAACTGTTCTTTATTCTTTATTTCTATTTCCAGTTCAGATCTTTTCTTTTGTCGGAACAGTCTATGTTTAGAGTTCATGTAGATAAGTACCCCTCTCATATAAGCTTTACTTGCATCCCACACAATTTCAATTGGGGTACCTTTATTCAAATTTATTTCAAAAAATTCTTTCAAATGCTTTTTAAGTTCTGTTATATTTTTTTCATATCTAAACAAATTCTCATTTAATCTCCAAGAACGTCTCTCAACCTTGTCCATCTCAATTTCTATCCATACTGGGCTATGGTCAGTCAAAGTTCTTGGAAAAATCTTTGTTCTTTTTGTCTTAACAAGTAAATCATCTGTCAACAAAATAAAGTCAATCCTAGAGAAGGATCTGTGTCTGTCAGAAAAAAAAGTATAGTCCAATTCTTTTGGATTATGTATTCTCCAAACATCTTTTAGTTCCATATCTTCTTTCATGTCAAAAAAGGTCTGTGGTAATCTGATTCTAGACTTTGCCAAACTCTTTTTATCTAATTTAGAATCGATTACTCCATTCCATTCTCCCATAATTAAAATAGATCTGTAATCCCATTGCAATATTTTAGTATGTAGCATCTTATAGAAATAGTCCTGTTGTTGATTGGGAGCATAAATCCCAATCAGAAGAATTTGGCCATTTGCGGTAGACAATTCAATTGCTACAAACCTACCATCTTCATCTGTTTCTATAACTTTAGCTGTTAACTTTTTATTTACATAAATTACCACACCATTCTTTTTTTGCGAAGTTGAAGATATAAAATGTGTTCCTAGTTTGGAGTTTATCAAATATTTTTGATCTTGAGTTGTGATATGCGTTTCTTGTAAACAAATTATATCATTATTAAATTGTTTCAAATATGTAAATAATTTCTTCCTTTTCTGTGCTGAATTCAACCCATTAACATTCCAGGATAAACACTTAAACATCATCAGCCTCTTTCTGGAGCAAAGAGCAAAATAATTGAAGATCATCCGAAAGCTTCGATCTCGCTCCTCCCATAGCTCCAGTCTCTTGTGTGGTACTCTTATCTGCCTCCTTGTCTTGTCTTTCCTGTTGTTGTTGTTGCTTTTGTTTAAGTAACTTAGCTTGAGCTCGAGTTATACGTTGATCCTTAACTTCAATCATCCGAACCGGGTCCAAGATTGGAGAAGATTCCAGCAAGGGCTCATCCAGAAAACCTCCTTCTGCACCTTGCACTTCTTCTAATTCCTGCTTAGACTGTTCTTGCAGTTCTCGTTGAGGTTGCTTCTCTTCACTCTCTTTAATCTCCAAAACTGTAGATGTACGTGGAGATGGTGTTCTTTCCTTAAGAATAGTAGTATAGAAGTGCTGTGCCTTCTCCACGGTATTCAAACGGTATCTTTCTCCCTTGTATCTGAAAATTATGCCAACTGGTGCGTCCCACCGGAAAGATATCTGTAAATTTTGCAATTCCTTAACAAGAAAGCCAAATTCTTTTCTAGCTTTCAGCATTTTAGGAGGCAATTCTTTATAAATTCCAATTCGTGAGCCCCCCACTTGTACAGAAGTGTAAAAGGATTTTTGCAGGATATCATTTCTTATTTCTCTATCTGTAAAATATATGACTACGTCTCTAGGTAATTGTCTTTGTCTGGCCACCCAAGAGTTCACTCTGTAAATTTTGTCTATTTTGTGAAAAACCACATCTGGATTAACTTGTAAAATCTTAGCCAGGGCCTCAGAACAAACTTGTCTCAAATCCTGTCTTTCCTCCTCTCGAATTCCTCAAAGCCGTATAGCAAACTCCATTGCCCTGAATTGTATCATGACAATCTCGTCTTCAACTCTCTGCATTTTATTGTCAACATCAGCAATTTTATAATCATTGTCTTTCATCTTAACATTAACTTCTGATTTAAGTTCTTCAACTTTAAAATCAACTTTCCCAATAAATTCTGCCAGGCCAGATGCCACTTCTGATATTTTTTTGGTCACCTTGTTTTGATTCTGTTTCACCATATCTTTAACTTCATTAATTTCCTGCATAAATTCCTGGTGTGATTTTTGAAGTTTATCATCTATCCCCTGATGTGATTTTTGAAGTTTATCATCTATCTCCTGTTGAGATTTTTGAAATTTATCATCCAAAGTTTTAGAAATAAATTCTTTTAAATCTCCCACATCAAATTCTTTTTTCTGAGTCTGTAACTGCTGAGCAGGGGGAAGTTGCGTTTCATGTTTATGTGTGGGGGATCCCCCCCCTGTTGCCTTCCCTTCCTGCTTCTTTGAAGCCATCCTGCCACGTGATATAGTTTTTCTAAAGAGGGAAGTTCCTTTTCCTTTCCCTCCTGCACAAAGACTTCTAAAAAAGTCCCCCAGATTTGATCAAATAAAGGTTGAAGTAAAGCAAAGTCAAATTTTGAAAGGGAGAAATTTTCCAATTGTTTCTCTTATAACAAGCAAGGCAACTTTGTAGCAACTTGGAAACTTTGTAACAAAGCAAAATAACTTCACCAATCCACACTCGCTGGCTCGTTAACTCTGAGGCTAAACGCCATGTTTTTTCTAAGCACTTTCACTCATTCGCGTTTTCTCAGATTGAAAAGTCAACAAAGCGCTGATACTTGCGTTTCCAAGATTCAGGATTCAGATAGTTTCACTGTTGATTAAAGCTGGTTCTTTCGCTTTAAGTTTCCTGCAGCCGGCTTGTTCTGCAAAGGCAGAATCGTCCCACGTCGCCCGGAGTTTCAGCAGGTTGGGAGGGAGCCACGCCTGTTCTCTCCCCAGAAACTTCCCTGGGGGGTTACAGGGGCTCGACCTGTGCCCTGAGATCTCTCCTTCTTCAATCCTACGGATTTAGAAGTTTTGGAGCCGCTTCCTCGTCTCGGAGCGGCTCTACGGGCGGCGGGGCTGGCGGAGCTTCAAAAGGCGCCGCCGTCGCCGAAGACAGGGAAACCGGAAGTCTCAACCAGTAGCGGAAATTTTGAGCAGTTCGGAGAACTGGCAAATACCACCACTGGCTGGCCCCAGAGTTGGGTGGGAATGGAGATTTTGCAATATCCTTCCCCCAGGAGTGGGGTGGGAATGGGGATTTTGCAGTATCCTTCCTCTGCCACGCCCACCAAGCCACACCATGCCCACCAAGCCACACCCACAGAACTGGTAGTAAAAATATTTGGATTTCACCACTGAGTGGGAGCAATCATTTTCATTCTCCCTGAATGCCATGCAAGGCCTGGCTAGTGGTATCTTCCATGTGTCCATCCTAAGGCTGCACTAAACTGAAGACTCTTGGAGTAGCTGCGGGCAAAGTCAAAAAGGGGCAAGGGGTGGCCAATCCCACTGGCACAATCATCCTGCTTATTTTCTTTCATTACAGGTTTCAGACATCCCTGAAAGACTCCAAACTTTTCAAGAAACGGCCTCTTCGATCTTCATGCTAAACAATTTGAGGACCTGCTGCTGGGAATTCTTACTAGATTTGCAATGAGCCAACATAAAGGGGGGATGGCAAACAGAAATAAAACGGAAAAGAAAAGCAAGGAAAACAGGCTGCAAAGTTCTTCATTTAAATGAAACGTATGGCAACAGTGCCCTCACTGCTGTTATGAAAAAAATTCGTGGATAGTAGATAGCTGCAATGTGGAAGAGGAGGGACAGTCCAGCAAATGTTTGTAACTTTCTATACCCGTGCTCTGACTTGTTCAGTGTTGTTGAAATCGGAGAAATCAGTTGCATAAAAACAGGTGCATGAAGACTAAAAGAAGCAATCGCAACGTAAAATTGGAAGAATGGATCTAGAATTGCTGTGATCCTTCAAAATAAAAGATAAGCCCCCAAACTATCTCCCAGCAAGAGAAGATCTCCTAGGAATATTTTGGAAACTTTCAGTGAAAAATCTGAAAATACAAAGTAGGAAATTCCCCATCGTAGCAGGAGAAGAGCAGGGACAGCTGTGGATGAAGCTGTTTCATCAGCCGAGAGTTAGCATATTTCCATAAAGGGTCTAAAGTCCAACTCCTCTTGGCGCCAATTTGTTGGCGCCAATTTCTTGCTGAACATTAGGTTCTTTTGTACAGGCAGGCTTGAGCTGCCATTCTGAGCGGCAGCCTGGTCCTTTGATTCTCTGAGAGCCTGACAATTGTCACAGAGCAATAGTAGCTGACTTGGAAGAAAGGCAAGCTGTCCAAATGAAGGTTTAATGAAAGACACCTTCCCTCTGTCAGCACCGATGACAAGGAATTTGCCCTTCCTAGTGTGAATGTTCTTGGGCGTGTGATCTCGTGGAGGTACTGAGGGGACTCCGAAGGACCGTAAAAAAGATCTTCAAAGCAAGGTAAGGGAGAATTTGGGCTCTTATCATTCTGATAAGAATGGGTGGTGGAATGCAAGTGCTGGGTGACACAGGGAAGGGGCTGCTCCAGTTGCCGCCGTCTCACTCTGCTAGCATCACGGCTCTGTAGGCCAGGCAGCCAAGGATATTGTTGGGACTTTGTTCTCCCTCCGCCACACTTTGTTTAGTGGCTGTGGCACCGGTGCATTGCTCAGCCTCCTGCTTCGTTGCAGCAGTGAGCAAGGACAAGAAGCTTCATCCTCCACCCCCCCCACCTCGTTTCATGTTCTACCCCACCCCCACTTCACTTAGTGGCTGCAGCACACCCTCCCCTCGTGTCAGCAGCAACCAAACAGAATGGGTTGCCGGGTGGCTGCACAGGCTCTTAAATTGGGCTTACTTTAGGGGTAGGGCTTATATTCAGCACAGGTGTGAAAATCGGGCTAGGGCTTATTTTGGGGGTAGGTCATATTTTCAGGAAAACATGGTATTTGGTTCATAAAGCTGGAAAATATGGCCCCTGTGTTAATGAGCCTGTAGGTGACAACTGTGTATTCAAATTTGCCTTATCTGGTTAAATATTCATGGCCCTCTTTGATCCTAATGAGGTTCTAAGCATTGCCGACATCCAGTCTCATAAAAATGCTTCCTTTCTACAGTCTATCTAAGAGGCCTGCAATTAACAGCAGTGTATAGTGGTTGTTTACGGTCACTGAGTTCAAAGCTTTGTAATTATGGACCACTCTCAGCAGGGGTCCCCACTATTATTAGGCCCACTGAGATCTTGCTTCTTGAGTATGAAGAAGATGGGAGCCAAAGCAGGAGACTGGGAGAGTCATATGACCCCCTTTTACAAATTAGAGTCCAAATATTGTTTCAGTGTTTCTAATCCCTTAGTACACATTTGGTATTGTTTCTTGGCAGGTGTGGTACTTAGAGGCTGCACCCTCCCAGGTGTTGGCAGCAACCAGACAGAATGGGAATGCACCAAAGAGAAAAGGAGGAAGAGGGGGGAGAGGACAGTATATAAAAGGAGGAGGTTTTGGAGGGAAAGAAAAGGGAGCGGAGAAAGAGACAAAGTGTGCAGCCTTGGGGGAGGAGTTGAGCTAAACCTGAACTGAAGAGAAAAGGAGGAAGAGAGGGTAGAGTGGAGAGGATATAAAAAAAGGAGGTTTTGGTGGGAAAGAGAAGGGAGCGGAGAAAGAGACAAAGTGCGCAGCCTTGGGGGAGGAGTTGAGCTAAACCTGAACTGAAGAGAAAAGGAGGAAGAGGGGGTAGAGTGGAGAGGATATAAAAAAAGGAGGTTTTGGCGGGAAAGAGAAGGGAGCGGAGAAAGAAACAAAGTGCGCAGCCTTGGGGGAGGAGTTGAGCTAAATCTGAACTGAAGAGAAAAGGAGGAAGAGGGGGTAGAGTGGAGAGGATATAAAAAAAGGAGGTTTTGGCGGGAAAGGGAGAGAAAGAAAACGGGAAAAAAAGAGAGAGGGAGAAGAGGAGAGGATTCTGTGAGACAAGCAGTAAGGAGAGAGATAGGAAGAAGAGATAGTCAGTAAGCACTCTCCAGCCAGGAATGCAAAGATTAATGTCGGAGAAACAGGCACAAGTTTCCCGTTAAATGTGTGGTAAGTAGGTGTACTTTATCAGTTCTTCCCCCCCCTTTTTTTTTGTTGGTCATCAAGTTAATCAAGTAGAGAATCAAGAATGAGCAAAGTTATTATCAGAAGCCAGAATGGGTTTGTTAAAAACAGGTCATGCCAGACAAACCCGTATTCTTCTTTGATAAAGTGACTAAATAAATGGACTAGTGGAATATTGTGGACATAGTATATCTGGACCTCAGAAAGACATTGATTAAAGTATACAACAACCTACTTCTTGGTAAGATAGAAAAATGTAGGTACTACAATTAGCTGAACAACTTATCCCAACATGTAGTCCTTAATGAAACTACACCTACATCAGTGGTGGGTTGCCCCCGGTTTGCACCGGTTCTATAGAACCGGTAGTAAAACCGGCGGGAGGCTCCACCCACTGACCCCGACAACATCAAAATGCTTCTGCCCATGCACAGAAGAGCGCGCAGCCCCGCTGCGAACTGGTAGTAAAGGTAAGTAGAATCCACCCCTGATCTACATGGAGTGAAACATGCTGTGGGGTACCTTAATTTTGGTCTTAGGTACAGTACTCTTCAATCTCTTCATCAATGATTTAGATGAGAGGATAGAAGGGGAACTCATCAGATTTGCAGATTTTTTTTTATTATTATTATTCATATTTCTATGCTGCCCACTCTCTGAGGACTCTGGGTGGCTTACACCAAAGACAGTATACTAAATAGCATATTGCCCCCAACAATCTGGGTCCTCATTTTACCCACCTCGGAAGGATGGAAGGCTGAGTCAACCTTGAGCCGGTGAGATTTGATCCACTGATCTGCTGAACTAGCAGTCAGCTGAAGTTGCTGCAGTACTGCACTCTAACCACTGCGTCACCTCGGCTCCTTATGACACTAAGATGACACCAAGCTGGGGGAATTGCTAACTTTTTGGAAAATAGACTCACGATTCATGAGGAACTTGACAGATTTGAGTACTGGGCCATATCCAGATTAAATTCAGCCATGAGAAAACTAAGATCCTGCATTTAGGCAGGAAAATTGAAATGCATAGGTACACAATAAGTGTTACCTGGCTCGACAGTAGTAATTGTGAGAGAGATCTAGGTGCTCTGGTGGACCACCACTTTTGTATGAGCCAACAATGTGTTGCAGCTGCCAAAAAAAAAAAAAAGGCAATGCAGTTCTGGACTGCGTCAACAGAGGGATAGCATCAAGATCATGAGAGGTGATAATACTGCTTTATATAGCACTTGTGAGGCCACTCTTGGAATACTGCCCACAGTTCTGTCACCACTATACAAAAAAGTTGCTGAGACTCTAGAATCATGATGGCGAACCTATGGCATGCGTGCCACAGGTGGCACACGTAGCCATATCGGTGGGCATGCAAGCTCTGCTCCAGTGGGACCAGAAGTTGGCAAACGTGCCGTTTTCGCCCTCTGGAGGGCTTCCGGGGTGGTGGTGGGGAAGGCCGTTTTCGCCCTCCCGAGACTCCTAGAAAGGTCCTGGAGGCTGGGGAGAGCAAAAAATGGGCCTACCGTGCCATCGAGTGCTAGGAGCGGAGGGAGCGGGAGGGTCATGCACGTATGCGCAGGGACAGGGCGCATAGAATTATGGGTGTGGGCCCACATGCGCATGACCCCCACCCACCCCGCTCCTGGCACGCAATGGCAAAAAGGTTAGCCATCACTGCCCTAGAAAGTGTGCAGAGAAGAGTAACAAATATGATAAAGAGTCTGGAGGATAATTATATCATATGATGAATGGTTGAGGGATCTAGGTATATCTAGCATATCAAATAGAAAGATGGGGGGAGAGACATGATAACTGTCTTCCAGTAATTGAGGGGCTGTCACAGAGAAGAGGGGATTGACTTACTTTCCAAAACACCAGATAATATGTGGAAGCTGGTTAGAGATTCAACCTAGAAGTAAGGAGAAAGTTTCTAAGTGAGAAAAATTAATCAATTGGAGCTGCCACTTTTAATTTTACAGTGTTCCAAATAAATTATGTAATTGCTGTGGTAATTAGTTTATACACTTCATTTAAGATTCATTTTGTTCATCCATTTGTAACTTTTACATGTACAGCATTCCAGGTTCAGTCCATTGCAAATCTAGCCAAAGCATCTGAGATACTAAATGTGGAAAACACGTTAGATGCCTGTAGTTAGATTAAATAAATGTCAGGATGTCAAAATACATTTCATACAATCAGATATGACAAGATTTGTTGTCTAAAGCTGCCTTCCTCATAGGTGCCTAGACAACACTCACAAGCACTCACATGCTCACAGAGTATTAGTCCTTACTCACCATTTCACCCTCTTCTCCACTCTTTCCCACTGCCACTCCTCCTCCTGCTACTCTTTGCGAGAACTGCTAGAGGAAAAAAAGCTTTTTAGGCTGCTTTACTTTGTCAGAAAAATAATTTGGGGTTCCAACTCGAGCCAGGGTTGCACAAGAATAAATAAAAATGAGATCCAGACAGCTGTGAGGAAAGAAGAAATATTTATTTCTAAAAGCAAAACAGTTTGCATTTAGGGACAAGCTGTAAAGAAATGGGGTACAGTGGCAAATTTAATAGGGGGAGCTTGTACATGCTAATTCTAGGGTGACAGTTGAGGGATGTGTGTGTATGTGTGTATAGGTACAGTATGTTTATTCGTGTGCGGACATAATTAACTCTGTTGTGTTTGCAGACCTTATCCTTTGATACGTGGATTAGGTCTGAGTAACTTATTTCAAGGTTTGAGGAAATTTACTAATTTAATTAAGTTGGAGACACTGATTCTCAGACCATTGTGGATTCTGTTAGTATTTTAAGTGAAGATGGAAACAGTATAAAGAATAAAATATACTTGGATAGAAATCTTCTCACAACTTCCACACACAAACAAATACACCTCCTCTTCCACCCACCCACCCCCCATCACACACACCCTCAGCTATTTCACAGCACAATTTTTATAGTCAACTTTGCTATGCCAGCTGGAGAGAGGGTTTAAAGAGATGGGATGAAAGCTGGGAATTTCCTGAGCCACCTGCTATTTCACACATTGGATATTTGGTCTCATAACCTCTGGCCTTTCCAGTCAGTAATTCAAATGGTGGACAGCACATTGAAGAAGAATAGTTTAAGGAAGTATATTCTCCACAATAATATGTCAGTGATATTCTGTGCAGCAATGAGTAATACCAATTTCTTTTCTTTCTAGGCAGCCTGAATTTTGATTTATTTTTTCTTTTTGTAACAAAGACAATTATGTCTTGGAAGATGCAAGGAGAAATTAAAGGTGAGGCATTCAGGTTTTTCTTCCACCTAGCTGAGAAGTAAAGAAAGCAGGACAAAATTAGAGAAAAACTTACCGTATTTTTCAGAGTATAAGATGCACCTTTTTGGGTGTGTCTTATACACCGAATGTAGCCCCGCCCACCCACTGGCCCCTACCCTTTGGCCTCTGCCTCCCAGCAATTTACCTCCTTGCAGCGAGCAGCAAGAAGAAACAGCCCATTTCAGCTTCAGCAAAGCCTAATTAGCACAAGTTGTCGGTTGAATCTGCCTCCCGACTCTCAGCTGTTTCAGGCTGCAGGGATTGCCATTGCCTATTGCTGTGCTGGCCTCTGCTGTTTGCTGCAAGGAGGTTAATTGCTGGGAGCAGATTTTTTTTCTTGTGCTAATCAAGTTATGCTGAAAATGAAAGTAAAGCAGGCTGTTGGCTGTTTGCTGCAACGAGGCAAAATTGCTGGGAGGCAGAGGCAGATTTCTTTTTCTTGTTTTCCTCACCAAAAAGGGTAGGTGCGACTTATAGTCTGGAGGGTCTTATACTCCGAAAACTATGGTAACTAATCTTTTGGCTAAAATCATTGGTTTCCTCTTTTAAGCAGAGGAATCACAATAAGTAAGGCAGGCATAAATTGAAATAGCAATCTCGAGTGGGCAAAAGTTTTGATCTGCAAAATTTGGAGATGACTGGACTCAAGCTAGAATTAGGGAGAACTGAGAGGTAGGATTGTTTTCTTCAGTCACCCTTGGTTCTCAAGGTTGTACTGGAACCAAATATTTTAAATCTGAAATATTTAAGTAGCAGGAAGAGCATCTGAGAAAACTCTTCCAGATAATCTTCTAAACTTTAAGAGGCTCATTGAGTAAGTCAAGAGACTTTCACACTTGGGATTCTATAGTGGAGTGTCAGTTTCAGATAGAATCCAGTAACAAATATATCTGCTTATGCAAAAACAGGGAGATTTTCCAATGTGCACCAAAAAACTCCTGTGGAAATATCCCAGATGTAGGCCCGATTTTGTCATATGACTTGGGCACCGTCCCCTAATATAATCACCTGAAATCTTGCAAGATGATCAACACTCGTGAGATTTTTGGCAGTCACCTTGAGTTCTGCCTGTGAACATTCAGCAGTGCAAGACTTGGGGATTTTGTGAGGTTTCAGCTACTTAAAATATGAGTTCAAATTGTTTTGACCGGGAAAGGCAGGTAGCCCTAACAAGAAAACTGGACCATGTCTCTTTTGTATTGTTTTCTGCCTTCCTTTAGGATCAGGAGATTCTGGAGATTCTGGATATTGTGATCTGTTGACTTCTAAGGTGACAACTGCATCTTCTTCTGGAAGCTCCGATGCAAAGAGGGAAAGAAATGCTGATAAAAATAAAGGTTGGGACCAGTGGTGAAATTATTTTTTTTTTACTACCGGTTCTGTGGGCGTGGCTTGGTGGGCGTGGTATGGCTTGGTGGGTGTGGCTTGATGAGTGTGGCAGGGGAAGGACACTGAAAAATCCCCATTCCCTCCCCACTCCTAGGGGAAGGATATTGCAAAATCTCCATTCCCACCTCACTCTGGGGCCAGCCAATGGTGGTATTTGCCGGTTCTCCGAACTACTCAAAATTTCCACTACTGGTTCTCCCAGAATTTTACCCCTGGTTGGGATCCTTTATAATTTTGAAGAGGGAAGTAATGAAACAAAATGGCTGGAGCTGGGCCATACCTAAAAACGGGATTCTTCCCCCCACCTCTTGTTTTGAAGAGAGGTTTCTTTCTTTCTTTCTTTCTTTCTTTCTTTCTTTCTTTCTTTCTTTCTTTCTTTCTTTCTTTCTTTCTTTCTTTCTTTCTTTCTTTCTTTCTTTCTTTCTTTCTTTCTTTCTTTCTTTCTTTCTTTCTTTCTTTTTAAAGGAAAACCTCACACAAAACCAACATTGCACCTTTGGTGAATTTCCCATGTCATATTCAGGACAGAAATCCTGCCACTGATTTTTGGCAGTTGGAGTTAGAGAAGGGAAATCCAGATCAGGGAGCCCTAGTGTTGTGGAATGATGAGACCAAACAACATTCCTGGGTCAGCCAGAGACAGTTTTATTGCGCAAGGTTCAGAGTCAGTTTTGTACCTGAAGCTTTGAACAAGGAAAGAACTGTGATATCTCTGTTTTTATACATTTCCAAGACAAAGGATTCAGTGAGATCATGCATTTTCCATATATGGTTAACATGAGATTATACATCCAATTTTCCCTATATGGTTACATACATTGGATAATATGTTCATCTAATTACTTAAACCATTAATTTTAGTTTATAAAATTATCTTAGCTACACAACTTTTCTTAAGTACTTGTAGTTGTTAATGGGAGAGTTACTGCTGTCCTTGGGTAAATTTATTGGATTAAGTAACTCTTTGTAACATATAGGTCTTTGTGTCATTCACAGTGAGGTCACTCAGATGTTTTCCATATGACTGTCCTTCTGTGACATCTAGGTTTCATCAGAAGATATATTACCACTTAATGAAGTTTAACTGTTTGTTAATGTAATTTCCAACAAGCACTTTTCTATCTTATAATAATGAGAATAGAGAGGTTCTCTCAGAGTTCATGTATCTAAGCACGTCTTCCCCTTATAATAATGTGAATAGAGAGGGTCCTTTAGAGCTCATATATCTGACTCTGTATGATTCCTTTCTCTTATCCACATTACTAGTTGGGTAATTGGGGCAATATTTTCCTAATAAGAAAACTGGACCACATCTGTATTGTTTTCTGCCTTCCTTTAGGGTCAGGAGATTCTGGATATTGTGATTTGTTGACTTCTGAGGTGCCAACTGCATCTTCTTCCAGAAGCTTTGATACAAAGCATGCAAGAAATGCTGGTAAAAACAGACACCTCCCTTGAACCCTGAAAAGCTTGAAAAGCTTTGGTGGGCGGGGGGGAGTGTAATAAGACAAAGTGAATGAAGCTGTGCTAAATTTACTGGATTTAAAAACCAGGATTCTTTTCCCCCCCTGGTTTTGATGAATCAAAGTTGAGGCTGTTTCTCTTTTTGAAAAGAAAACCCTCTCATAAAGCCAATTTAGGCCAACACTGAAGCTTTGGTGTGATTCCCATGTCACTTTGGTGTCTCCCATTTTCAAGGCAGTATTATTTTACAGTATTATAACCAGGGGTGGGATTCAGCCAACATGGTAGCTCTGACGATCAGCTGGGAGAGAACCAGTTCGCTCGGACGATCAGGTGGGCCCGCCCGCCCGCCCGCCCCTGCGCGCTTTGCTTTATCCTCTCAGCTGATTTGCGCGGCAGAGCAGATTGCTGGGCCTCAGCTGTGTTAGTCCTCAGAAGTAACGCGGAAGTTCAGTTTTGTCAAAACTGAGCACCCGTGCGGAGCGAAACACTCAATCACCGAACCGGTTGTTAAACCGGCAGGATCCCACCACTGATTATAGCTTTATTTGCGATATTAAATTTTTGGACTTGGATATGACACGCTCACAAGTATTGCCAGCTGGCAGGGTTGTTAGGCGTTCAAGAGCAATGAGATTGAGTTTGTGTCTCCCACAAATGTGAGAAGGATGTGTTTACTATTGGCCACTCCAAATCCACTTGATTTCTTCTGTGGAGAAAGAAACTTGAAGGCCACACACATCAGACACCAGAGCTGGGCTTCTGACCTCCTCAGAGGCACTCTTGTCTGCCTTCTTCTGTTGTTCTTTGTGGAGGGAAAGGGGAGGGGAGATGAGAGACACTCAGGGTTTATCTGTGATGGGATCAACAGGTACAAGTCAAACCACAAACATGAACTGTCAAGAAGCGCAAAACACATCTATCTGTCTTCTCCAAACAAAACTCTCCAGATGTCTTGGGATTCCTTTCCTAATTCCACTGCCTTACAGTTTTATATGCCAGCTGGAGCATTCAATCTTTTTGGACTGTTGCTTTCTGGCAGAAGATACAGAACAATTAAAACTCGGACCACACGTTTTCTGAATAGTTTTTATCCCAGAGCTATAATTGCACTCAACAATGAACTAAAGGGCCACCATCAGTGAGCTGTGGGACAGTATTACTTGGTCTGTTGTGTGGATGTTTGGGTGGTTTAGGGGTGGAGAATTGTGGTGGGTGGGAGTGTGTGTGGGGATTGCTATGTGTGTTGGACCTGGTCTTTGGGTGTTCAGTGAATTTCGTTGTATGGGTAAACTGTGTATACACGTACAATGACAATAAAGTTATTTATGTATTTATTTATTTATTTAAAAGCCGGAAGGAGGCAGTTCTAAGATACAGAACACAAAAACATCATACAAATTATAGCCAGTCATTTGGGGTAAATGTAGTCTCTTGCCATAAAGGGCAAATACTGGCATTAGTAGTGGATGAATTTTTTCTTCATCTACCTGCCTGCCTGCCTGTCTGATGTAGTATGATATTGTGTATCAAGAGTTTCTTGCAAAAATCAAATCCAGAAGCACACACAGATAACTGAATCAGCTGGATTCATTAACTTCTTTATATTCATAATAACACATAAAGTATATTTACAATACCAACAGTTGATTCTTCAGCTCAGATCAGCAGACATGTTGACACACACAGAATACAGTAGAGAGCTTAACACACACTCACTCTGAATGGTTTCAGTTTCAATTCTCTGCACAGAATCAGAAGCTGCAGTCTAAGACACGCCCTGGCTCCAGTCTGTCCCAGCTCCCAATTGGCTGACCTTGTTACCATGTCTTTTCAGTCATGAATATTCTGACATTGTGTGACTATAATCCTAAACAATTATAACAAAATCATGAACTTCATCTCTTAATATTTTCTTGTTTTCTGTTTTTCAGTTCTATGTAAGCGCATTGCAGACAAGAAATTTGTTATAGCGGCAGCTGTTGTGGTCGTTTTCATCATTATTATAATTTCATTGGCTGGTAAGTAATGAGGCATTCCTATTTCATGGTTTTGGAAGTAGTTTGGTCTCACCTCTTTTCTGGGGCAGAGGGAGAGGGACCGGCACAAGGACAGCCGACTTTCACGGCTGAATTTGAACTTAGCTTTAGGCTTTGTGCCAGTGGTGAAGTCCAATTTTTTTTACTACCGGTTCTGTGGGCGTGGCTTGGTGGGTGTGGTTTGGTGGGTGTGGCAGGGGAAGGATACTGCAAAATCCCCATTCCCTCCCCACTCCTGGGGAAAGGATACTTCAAAATCTCCATTCCCTCCCCACTCCTGGGGAAAGGATACTGCAAAATCTCCATTCCCTCCCCACTCCTGGGGAAAGGATACTGCAAAATCTCCAATCCCATTCCACTCTGGGGCCAGCCAGAAGTGATATTTGCTGGTTCTCCGAACTGCTTAAAATTTCCGCTACCAGTTCTCCAGAACCTGCTGGATTTCACCCCTGCTTTGTGCCTAAGACAAGACTACAGTCTCCTGGTTTCTAGCTTGATGCCTTAACCACTACACCAAGTAGCAGTAGCTGCTTCTTGCAGTAGCTAGTCTACTTTTATGTTTCTCCTAACAAACTCAACTCTCACTTCCATATTTAGTTATTTAATTCATTTACTGCTTCCCAAACATGGATAAATTACCAAAACTTGAGTAAAAGTGGATAAATCCCAATGACTGGTAAGATCCCACAGAGTTGGTCTCCTCCAGGTCCCGTCAGCTAAACAATGCCAGCTGGCAGGCCCGCGGGGGAGGGCCTTCTCTGTGGCTGCCCCAGTTCTCTGGAACCAGTTACCTCCTGAGGTCCGGACCATCCCCACCCTATTGGCCTTCCAAAAAGCGGTGAAGACCTGGCTTTTCCGGCAGGCCTGGGGCCGTTGATCTCACTCTTGTGATCCGGCGAGATCCGGCCATGAATGGTGTGAATGAGTTTTAATATTTTTAATGTTTTTAATTTTTAAATGTTTTTTATAATGGTTTTAAATGCATTGTGAGCCGCCCTACATTCAGGAATCATCTTACATATTCATGTAAAATACTCTATACTTTATCATACATTTTCTCTATGTTGACAAATGTGCAGTGAACTTGCTTTTACATATTAATATTTATGTAAATTGGTTTACTGAAGAATGAAAGCTGCTATTTTTTTTCGTGTACAGCATAAAACCACAATGAACTTCTCAAATTGATTGCATTAGCACCTTTCATACCATTTTAATTAGAAATCTGCCAGATACTTTTCTAGTCTCACTTAACAAATTAACTCCCCGTTACACTCTGCACTCTTTCTAGGATCCTTGCTAGGTCTCCATAATACACTTTATCATACATTTTCTCTATATTGACAAATGTGCAATGAACTTGCTTTTACATATTCAGGATACAAATCTATAAAGTTATATACATGTTTGCGTATATGGGTAGTGCTCAGTTAGTGACCACTTGTTCAGCCGTTGTTCCCAGTTAAGGCAGCTCTGAATAAGGAGGCTTATGACCAGTCCTTGAGGTTGTAGCCATTACAGCAGCTCCACATCGATGTGATTACAATTTGTTGCTTGGCAACTAGCATACATTTACAACAGGCATAGCATTCCACAGTCACCTGATTGCCTTTTGTGACATTCATAGCCCGATTGAGCGTCGTGGTGGCCTAGTGGTGAAGCTAATCGCCTCCCGTTCTGAAGGTTGTGAGTTCAATCCTAGGTAGCAGCAGATATTTCTCTCCCCGGGCGCAAAGAAAAAAAAATTGCTGTGAACTCCACATGGCGTCAGAAAGGGCATCCGGCCAGTAAATGCTCAGCTCCATCCAGTCACCCCAACACTACCCCAAATTAGTTATGGGATGAGAGTCATAAAAGTGGGAATACACCAGGAAAGAAGAAGAAGAAGATAGCCAGCTTCTAATTAGCAACATCATTGGGAAGTGAGCCGGAAGTCACAAGTCGCAGTCATGTAAGGTTGCACTTAAGAACTGATCATGATTTGCTTAACAAGTGCAGCTGAAATTGACAAAATAATTGCCATCATAAGTTGGGCAGGGTCATGTGATTTTTTGTCCCCACTTTGCAGCAGTGTTGTAGCAATGCAATTGCCAGTTCCAGGTGTGGTTGCGGTTGGTAAGTGAGGATTACCTCTATTTACAGATGAATTCATTTGGTTGCCTTTAAAAAAAAACCCTGTAATTTCAGTTTAAGTGAGTTAGCTTAATATTAACTATTCAGAGTTTTTTTGTAATTAATTGTTTGAATTGTTTTTGTTTTAGTTCCAGGTAAAAAAACAGAAACATATCTGCCTTGTCCTCTCCTTGAAAGCCAAAATGTTGCCTGCCCAGATTCCTGGATTGGATACAGAGGAAAATGTTTTTATACATCAAATGAAGAAAGGAATTGGTCTCTCAGTTTAAAGACCTGTTCTTCATTTAATGCCTCCTTGGCTGTGATTGATACACAGAAGGAATTGGTAAGGAATAAGGAGACATCATAAATAATTGCAGAGTTGTCCTGGCATTTACAAATGTAAAAAGCAGTCCTATTACATTTACTATTATTATCTACAATATTTATTTACTTACTTACTTTATTTTATTTATTTATGTTGCAATATTTTTAGGATCAGACTCAATAATAATAATGAGAGTTAGAGGTTCAGATATATTTGTCTTTAATTATAGTAGGCATTCTATATTCACTGAATATTTACAGATAGAAGCAAGGAAAATGGCGAAGGTGGCTCCTTATATATACAAAGGGTGGAGCCAAGAGTGGGAGTGGTGAATTATGAATACATTAAGAAACAAAGAATAAGTTAACCCCTGATATCCCATATATACATTATTTACACATTAGGGAATAAGGCATTTACATCTGACAAATCCCCCTCTAAATGCCGGTTCGCTATACAACACCAATTACATTCAGATTCAGGACAATATAAGACATACAATTTAGAAGTTAAGTATTTGTGCTGTTTAGAAGGTAAAGGCTTCGTTAATATGTCAGCTAATTGTTCAGAGGTATCACAATGCACTGCTTTGATAAATCCATCTTGGGACAATTGTCTCACATGCTTAAATTTTATATCTATATGCCTGGATCTTTGTCCAATGGCATCGGATCTAGATATTTCAATGGCCGCTTTATTGTCTTCATGCATAACAAAAGGCAAAGCAGGTTTTTTCCAAACATCTGAAATTAAATCATTAAACCATACAAGGTTATTTGCAGCTTTGGATAAACAAACATATTCCGCTTCTGTGGTTGAAGTGGCTACCAGTTCTTGTTTACCAGTGTACCAGTAAACTGGACAGTCATTTAACAGAAAAATATAACCAGAAGTACTTTTTCTGCATGATGCATCTCCAGCCCAATCCGCATCTGCGTAACATGTAAGTCTTGGTTCTTTATTATCACTAGGCTCTAATACTAGACAAAAGTCTAATGTACTTTTCAGATATCTTAAAATTCTTTTGACAGCTTCCCAGTGATACATTGTTGGTTTACTAACGTGCCTTGATAATAAATTGAGTGGTAATGCAATATCTGGCCTGGTCCAATTAGATATATAAAGAAGTGAACCTATGACTGATCTATAAAATGTATTATCCTTGAATTCAGGGGAAGATTCATCATTATTTCTAAGGAAATCAGTTTGCATAGGAGTTTCACAGGGTTTGGCACTGTTTAAATTGCATTTGTTTAGAAGTTCAATAATCTTATCTTTTTGAGTAAGTTTGAAACCCCTTCTAGTTTTGTTAATTTGTACACCAAGGTATTTGTTTACTTTACCTAGAGATTTCAACGAGAAATGTTCATTTAACTTGTTTACAAAGATTTCTCTTCTCTCTCTGTGTTTTCCTATATATAAAATATCATCTACATAAATCAATACAAACTCAACGTGATCATCACTCTTTTTGACAAAGAAACAGTTATCAGCAGTGGTAGCGTTGAAATCCATGGTTTTAAGTACTTTTACCAAGCAATCGTACCATCTTTTGCCAGATTGCTTTAATCCGTATAAACTCTTGTTTAATAGCCAAATTTCATTTTTATTAGTGTATTGACTGTGAGGTGCTCTTACGTATATTTCCTTATCTAGTTTTGCGTGTAGGTACGCAGTCTGTATGTCATATTGAAATACATCAAGATTGAGTGTGGATGCTACTACTAGAGCTGTTTTAACACTCTCTGTTCTTACTGTGGGGGAGTATGTGTCAGTATAGTCCTCCGGATATTTTTGTGCATAACCTTGTGCAACCAATCTAGCTTTGTATAAGGTATTGCCTCCTTCTAGATTCTTAATTTTATAAATCCACCTGGTACCAATAATCGTTTTATCTTTGGGTGCAATCGCAGGTGTGAATACATTTAATCCTTGCAAACTCTCCATCTCTTTTTTCATAGCTAGTTCCCATTTTTCTTTTTCTTCACGAGGTAGTTTTAATACTTCCTCATATGTATTAGGTGTTATTTGTTCACCATCCATATGCATTATGTAATCTTTGTATTTATTTGGTATTTGATTTCTGTTGTTCCTAATAGCTCTTTCTGGTTTGCTATGGTAGTCATGCAAATATCTTGCTTCCTTTTTTGTTAATGTGTCTGTCTTTATTTTGTGTTGACTATTTGTCCATGTTTTGGTTTTGCTTTTACTTTTGTTAATATTTTGATTTTCTATCTTCCCTTCTTCACGAGATTTGGTATCCTTGCATTTATTCGGAAATATTTCATTAAGATGTAATTTAGACCAGTTGGCCTGTTCATGGAACACAGCTGTTCTGGAAACTATAAATTTATTATTATTGTCAATGAATCTGTACCCTTTGGTGCCAGTTTCATATCCCATAAATCTTAATCTTCTGGATACGTTTTCTCCCTTTCTCCTCAATTGTTTGGGTATGTGTACGTCTGCAGTGACCCCAAATATGTGCATGTGTGCTAAGTTTGGTTTCCTATTATACATCACCTCATATGGTGTCTTATTCACAATACTGGACCAGGTTCTATTTTGAGTGTAATTTGAATAATGTAGGGCTTCTGACCAAAATTGTTTGCCTAAACCAGCATCCTCTAATGTGCATCTAATCATGGTTTGTAATGTGGAATTCTTTCTCTCTGCAATCCCGTTTTGGAACGCAGAAAATGGACTAGACGTGTAATGTAGCATTCCTCTATCCTTTAACCATTGGGAGAATTCCTTAGACATGAATTCACATCCCCTATCTGTCATAATTTGTTTTATTCTGATATTATGTTGTGTTTCTATGCGTTTGTAAAATTCCTTAAATTTTTGAAAGGTTTCATCCTTGTGTTTTAATGTGTAAACAAAACCATAGCGACTGTAATCGTCTACTATTGTTAGGAAGTAACGTTTTCTATAAGTGATTGATGGAGTTAATGGACCAACTAAGTCCATGTGTACTAAGTCAAAAATTTTGTTAGTTGATCTGGTGGATTTTTTTGGCCTGGGACTAGTTTTTAATTTAGTAGATTTACATACTGAGCATTCCAAATAATTTTCACAATTTTTTATTTTGACACCTTCTGCGTGTTCAGTCATTTTTTGTACTACAGGAAAACTTGCATGTCCTAACTTCCTATGTAAGATATGAGCACACTCGTCATGAATTGGTTTACCTATTTTTGGTTTCTTCTCATTGTGTGTATCTGTGTGATCATGAGATATTTTACATTCATCATTGTCACTGTTACTAATATTTTCATCATCTGCCTCAATGCAATCTTCCATGTTTGAATCAATGTTATGTAACCATCTTTCTTTTGTTATCAGATAGGGTAGGCCTCCTTTAATCATCACAGTGCCTACATTTGTTTTATTCTTCTCTAAAGTTGCTTTTCCCTTTGAGAAAACTATATTGATGTCAGAATCTCTGCTTAATTTTATGACACTTAGTATGTTATGAGGTATTTCTGGTATTAACAATACCCCCTCTATTTTTCCTAGACCAGGCAAGGTCACATTCCCTCTGCCTAATACTTGAACTTTTTCTTGATTAGCTACCTTTATTACAAACTTATCTTCTGTAAATGAAGACAGTATATTTTTGTTATTAGTGGTGTGATTAGTTGCTCCAGAATCAATAAGCCAATTATTGTTCTCATTTGGTTGCGTTTTGGTGCTATCTTGTTTATTTAGTCCATTCAGTGAACCAGATTTTCTCTCTTTTGAATTTTCTCTGCCCCCTCTACTTTCTCTGTAATTTGGTGGGCTTCTATATTTATGTCTATCTGTGGAAGACTGTCTATAATTGTATTTATTCCTATATTCTGACCTATGTCTTTCCTTTGAAATTTTGGGGCAATCTCTTCTATTGTGTTCTCTGGACCCACAATTGTGGCATTTAAAAGTTTCATTATATTTTTCTTGGAAAGCTACCTTCCTAAAAGGTTTGTGTTCTGTGTGATTGCTATAACGATTTTTTCTTGAATTGTCTTCTGCTATCAATTTGTTAGACAGACTTTCTATTGACAAATATCCTAGATTGATGGTGTCTAAGTGTGACATAAAACTATCCCATGATGAATCAAGTGAGTTGATAATAACACTTTTCATTGTTTGATCTGAAATCACTTCCCCCCTCAAATGCAGCTCAGCTCTTATTTTGTTTAAAGATATTAAATGCTCACTTATGGAAACCCCTGGTTTTACTCTGGAAGAAAAGAAGTCCTTAGACATTCTTGTGGTGGTAGCTACACTATCGCTGTGAAACAAATTAAACATGCATTGAATTATTTCTGAAACAGTTAGATTTGGTTTGATGCTATGATACATTGCAGGAGACACGCTAGATATTATTAAGAAAAATGCCTTATGGTGTAAACAATCTATTTTTAAAGTCCAAGGTCTTCTTGGGGGACTAGTGATAAAAAATAGTAAATTTTCTTTCATAAAGACAACCTGGAGCTGTTGATACCATTCTTGTAAATTAATGCCATCAACCCTAAGTTTTGGGAAGTCACTGGGTAAGTTACCCACATTATTTTGTCCATTACTTACAACCTGAGGCAGTCCGTGGTCTCGCAAGTGTAGGAAATTGCAAAATGGCATGGGAATGCTCGCAACGAGTCTGCGCGGTTCTCTGGCCAGTTCAAGTCTTTCCGGACCGTCTACGTAGTTTCGCACATGCGCGTTGTTCATTTCTTCTTTGACGTCGTCGTGGAAGGTTCTCTCCATTGCAGCTCGCTCGCTCCGTTCCTCTTCAGACGAGTCGGTCTCTGGCTCGGTCTTAGGAGTTCTGGTGGCGGTGACTGTTCTTCTCTTTCTTTTGGGTGCGTTGGCACTTGCTTCGGTCTGCGGTGTAGGGCGGAATCGACATGGCTCTCTGGGCTCGGGCGTCGTCGTTCTCGAAGTCAGGATGGGAGCGTGCAGGTCTTGAAGTATCGGCTTGTTCGCTTGCTTCTTCGTTGGCGCTTTGGAAATTTTTAATTTTGGCCCGAATG